AGCTCAGTGAGGTTGGATGGAGAGCGTTTGTGAACAGCAGTCTTCAGCTCTTTCCACAGATTCTCGATTGGATTCAGGTCTGGACTTTGACTTGGCCATTCCAACACCTGGATACGTTTATTTGTGAACCATTCCATTGTAGATGTGTCTTTATGTTTTGGATCATTGTCTTGTTGGAAGATAAATCTCCGTCCCAGTCTCAGGTCTCTTGCAGACTCAAACAGGTTTTCTTCCAGAATGTTCCTGTATTTGGCCCCATCCATCTTCCCATCAATTCTGACCATCTTCCCTGTCCCTGCTGATGAAAAGCAGGCCCAAACCATGATGCTGCCACCACCATGTTTGACAGTGGGGATGGTGTGTTCAGGGTGATGAGCTGTGTTGCTTTTACGCCAAACATATCATTTTACATTGTGGCCAAACAGTTGGATTTTGGTTTCATGTGACCAGAGCACCTTCTTCCACATGTTTGGTGTCTCCCAGGTGCTTGTGACAAACTTTAAACAACACTTTTTATGGATATCTTTGAGAAATGGCTTTTTTCTTGCCACTCTTCCATAAAGGCCAGATTTGTGCAGTGTACGACTGATTGTTGTCCTATGGACAGACTCTCCCACCTCAGCTGTAGATCTCTGCAGTTCATCCAGAGTGATCATGGGCCTCTTGGCTGCATCTCTGATCAGTCTTCTCCTTGTTCCAGATGAAAGTTTAGAGGGACGGCCGGGTCTTGGTAGATTTGCAGTGGTCTGATACTCCTTCCATTTCAATATGATTGTTTGCACAGTGCTCCTTGGGATGTTTAAAGCTTGGGAAATCTTTTTGTATCCAAATCCGGCTTTAAACTTCTCCACAACAGTATCTTGGACCTGCCTGGTGTGTTCCTTGGTCTTCATGATGCTCTCTGCACTTTGAACAGAATCCTGAGACTATCACAGAGCAGGTGCATTTATACGGAGACTTGATTACACACAGGTGGATTCTATTTATCATCATCAGTCATTTGGGACAACATTGGATCATTCATAGATCCTCACTGAACTTCTGGACTGAGTTTGCTGCACTGAAAGTAAGGGGGCCCAATAATATTGCACGCCCCACTTTTCAGTTTATTTGTTAAAAAAGTTTGACACATCCAATAAATTTCTATCCACTTCACGATTGTGTCCCACTTGTTGTTGATTCTTCACAAAAAATTGAAATTTTATATCTTTATGTTTGAAGCCTGAAATGTGGCAAAAATTGAAAAGTTCAAGGGGATGAATACTTTCACAAGGCACTGTATATCTGGACAATGATATTTATTTTTCTCACTAAACCACAACCTGCGGCTCTGGGGCCACATGTGGCTCTTTGGTCCCTCTGCAGCCGCTTCTTCAGGCTTTGACCAAAACTAAAATAAAACTGGATTTTATTTAAATTATTGCCAACAATGAAAATGGCTAGTTTCAGCAGGTTTCATGTCATTTTCAAATATGTGAAGAATAGTACAAATACAAGATGTTAAACATGTGGACTACATCATGCTAGTAGTTTGCTAGACACTTTAAGTCAACTTCCAGTCTCACAGCGAGATCTTTCTCTGAAAACCACCAGAATGTTTTGGAATATCTTTAAGAGAAGCTGCTGAGAATGAATATTTGATGAAACTTAGAATAAAACACAAAAAACAAAATCAAAGTAAGCAAAAATATTTATTTTTCTTTAAAATGTAACTGGATATCCAACAAACTGGCCTAATTTTATACCGTCTTTAACTTTATGCTTTAAGTAGGAAACTTAATTCTTCAACAAATAAGAGAACTCACATCGACCTGCAGAGTTCAGTTTGAATTTTTATAAAATTGTTAAAAATTATATATTTTTCTTTCTTTACATGAATCTGGTCTTTTCTTTTGTAATAAATTGTAAAAATATCAATACATGTTAATAATAGACATTTTTCATTTCATAATGTAGAGGGATAGGTAGTCAGACCCAACAATACACCATTTAACTGGTGTTTACCCTAATCATTCAAAAGTTATGTAATAAATGTGGACTGACCTTTTAAAAATAGTGAATTCTTGGCAATCTTGTGATTCCCCTCACTTGAATTAAAACACACAAAACCTGGTTTAAGCCACAAACTCTTTTATTTTCAGTTTGAACAAAGATAATATGGAATTATGACAAATATGAATGAATAACCAATAGTGTTATTTCAGAAGGGTGAATAATATAAGATAGCTTAAAACTTTGAGAAAAGATGTTATGAATAACGTAAAAAAAAAAAAATTAGAAAATTTATGACTAATGTCCAAATTTAGATTAACTTTATCTTGGGTTTGTGACTAACTTAAAAGATGTCTAAAAACTTATTTGGCACTGAGTCGTTTCCTTTCATCAGGAGGAAGATGGTTTGTACCAGGAAAGATGCCCTCATTACCACAATGGATATGATGCAAAAGCTCACTGGTTCACTGTCACCGGAAGGGATGTCTTTCCTTCAAGGACCACGTCTCGTCCGGCAAGGCAGTGCCTCGTCGCCGCATCATTCCGAGGTGTTTGAGGACGTTACGTGGACTTTCGCCATTTCAGTCGTCTCGCTCGCGTCTAAATTGGGGAGAACTAGGGGGGAAGACAGGCTCGCAGCTGCTTCAAGCCACCTTTAGTAAAACAACCACAAGACTCCCTTATCTCCTCCACTGTGGTTCAGTTTTACCTGATGAAAAAGGGGGAGTGTCTATGGAAATTGTATCCAATCAATGCAACTCTGACCAGCTAAATGGGCGTTAACTGAGTTGCATAAATTCATTTTGATCACAACTCCTCTCAAAGTTTAGAGGGAAACGATGACTTTGCTTTGTTTACACATCACAGATGTACATTTGGGTTTTTTTTTTTATTGGACGGTCTTTTTAACATTTTGATCCTGTTATCTTGACTAATTTTGAAACGTGATGTGAATAATACACATCAAACATTTCACTCGTATTTTTATTTTTTATTTATTATCTTTGAAATGTGTGCAGGAGTTCTGACACATTAGCAGCTGTGCGCTCTCTGCAGAACTGTCTGGAGACCTCCTGTGCATAAAACCTGCACTGTCTGCAGGGCGCACAGCTGATTGAGGTGAAGCCGACACCCCACCCACGTCAAAAATTCCAGTACATACAATGAGTGGTTAGTGCTACGTTTGTGCTGGTTTGTGCCGTTAAACTGTTTGTTTGTGCTGCTGTGGATTCTGAGACATCTGAAGGTGGATGAAGACGCGCCATCCCTGCAGGACATGCGGTCAGCGTCTCTGCTGCAGGAGCGTGTCTGTGGGTTGCTGCGTCTACTGCAGCAGTAAGAGCCACTCCACAGACATGGACAACGTCTCCTCTCGTATTTTTAATAAATGATCAAAATAAAAATGCGCGATGACTTTGGACTTTTATGAGCGGAGATATGAGCTGACGGATCCGAGAGAACAGTTGCCTGGAACGCACACGGTGAAAATGAGGGAGTTCCCGGATCTTGTTCCGGCAGGATCCGGCTCAAATCAGCCACTGAATACAGGTAAACAACAGGTGGTCTGTTTGAGGCTCTGTTTAACTGAACAAGTTCCTTCTGTGGTTGTCACACGGTACTGTTTTTAAGGCCATCGTTTTCCAGGGGCCTTTTGAATTATCGTACCATCCTGTGACCAGAGCTATGTGTCCTCAGGGTATGGTAGAGTTCTGTCTTTTGTTGAATGTAAATTGTGAAGGTGTCTCCTTGTCTGAGGCAGGAACCGAGAGTTGATTAACTTGCAGAAAGTAGTAAGTACCCTCCTTGATACAGGCTTTTTTTTTTGGAGACGCAGTCTATCTTTCCTCAGGAAGGAGAGCTGATAAACCTTGCAGGAGGTAAATCCTGTCAGGGGTCATTTGTCTGACCCAGGAAGGGGAGTGATTAGCACAGAGGGGGTGGAAGAGTTCAGTTACTGTCTCTGAGGGTAGGATGTGCTGAGTCATCCTGACCCATCTTTAGGAACGTAGAACACTACAGTAATATCACCGCCACTGGTTAGAAAAGCCATCTCCAACGAACTTGTAGAGGTCCACGAGCCACCAGTTGATAGTACACAGTTGTAGCAGGTGGTGTGGCTCCAGACACGTCATAATTAATAAGCAAAGTGGCAAAAAATGGCTCTTTTTATTGCAAAGGTTGCAGACCCCTGCACTAAACCATGAAGTAATGCCATCCTGAGCCACAGAAGAGCTGGCGCTGTCAGGACCTGCAGCTCAGTAAAGTGCCACCTTGACAGCCAAACCCTCTGATTGCATTGTATTTTTGTAATTGTTGCATGTGATTGATATGACATAATCAACTGAGAGGAAACATCCTGTCATAATTTGTACTTGCAAGTTCAAACTTGCATGCAAGTTGGGTAACTTGAGCACAGAGTTTTACACGTACCGTAGTTTTTGCCCTATAAGTAGCAGTTTTTTGCATAATTTACATGCCCTGCGACTTATAGGCCAAAGCGACATATTTATGAATTTTTCCACTTTATTAGACATATTTGGACTGATGCAACTTAAAGGGCAGTGTGACAAGTATGGTGGAAAATACGGTAGGTTGTTTTTTTTTTTTTTTTTTGCTTTATATCTAAACATCTTAATTTAAAAAAATGTAATTTGTGTAAATATTTTTTACAAATACAAATCTTTTATCCACGCACATAATTATTTGTGGATGCACAAAGATGGAATTTTCAGAGATTTTGGTTTACAAGGTGTAAAATTTACACATTCTAATTTACAAGCCCAAAATATATGACTGGAATTTGTACCCGTACACTGTTTTTGCTGTGAAAGATTAGTAAAACATAAGCTGGCAGCTATAGTAAAATAAATGAAAGTCCACAAAACTGTTTTTTATGTTTTAAATTTTACAAGTTTCATATTTTTCCTTCAACATTTGGTCTCTTTCTCTTCTCCTGCAGAGGGGCCATTAGGAATGCCTGCCAAATGTTAATGATTCTCGGCCTTGAAGGGAGGTCTGTTTATGAAGAAGACTTTGAAGCACCATTCTTGGAAATGTCGGCAGAATTTTTCCAGGTTCAATTGAATTTATTTCTCCTGATAGTTTGTTGTTTATTGGGATTCAGACAAGTTTTACCGTGGATATAATTTATCTTTCTTAGGGAACTGTGTAAGTAAATAAAACTTTGTAAAGTTAATTCTAAGAGCAGCTTTGAAAAATGATTACCAAGACTACAGTATATACATATATAATTATTTTTATTTTATGTATTTATTTTAGATGGAGAGCCAAAAGTTCCTAGCAGAAAACAGTGCCAGTGTGTACATAAAGAAGGTAGAAGCCAGAATTAATGAAGAGATTGAGCGGGTAATGCACTGCCTGGACAAATCCACGGAGGAGCCCATCGTCAAGGTGGTGGAACGTGAGCTCATTTCCAAACACATGAAGACCATTGTTGAGATGGAGAACTCGGGTCTGGTCCACATGCTCAAGAACGGCAAGACAGACGGTATGCACTCAGTCATGTGTTGGTCTGTCGTTAAAAATGTGACGCACTTGGCACTTGCTGAAATGTTTCAGTCAGGCAGTAATACAATAATAATCCTTACCCATGTCTCAAACTGCACTGTGATTAATTTAGAAGGATTTGATTTTCAACACATTCAGAAAATGTTGTAGTTCACTTTTATTTACTCAACAAAACCTACTTTCAGTCGATACAAGGTGTTCGTACCTTTTCAGCCTCTACAAATGGATTTACAAAAAGTGTGTTCCCACACATCTATCTGCAGATTTGGCGTGCATGTACAAGCTGTTCAGTCGAGTTCCCAACGGGCTGAAGACCATGTGCGAGTGTATGAGTTCATACCTGCGAGAACAAGGCAAGGCGCTCGTGTCCGAGGAGGGAGAAGGAAAAAACCCAGTAGATTATATCCAGGTAAGAAGACAACAGTTGTTGGCTTTATTTGTAAATCAGCAGGAACACTGTGTGAAATGTTCGAATAATTCATCAAGCTGAAATATTTTGTTGGTAACTCAGGAAGGGGAAATTTTAAATCCTCAGCTTTTTAGATCACAGAATCATTTCCACAGGCTCTGCGAACATAAACATGTCTGTCGTCTGTCTCCTGCTACTTTTTGAGCTCTAATAATTGCTTTATGGCATTACTGCTGTTGAACACTGTTTGGGTTTTTCTTTGCATGACTTCCCGCCTCCTCCCTGCAGGGTTTACTGGACCTGAAATCCCGTTTTGACCGTTTCCTCCAAGACTCTTTCAATAATGATCGACTCTTCAAACAAACTATTGCTGGTGATTTTGAGTACTTCCTTAACCTGAACTCCCGCTCCCCTGAATACCTGTCACTCTTCATAGACGACAAACTGAAGAAGGGAGTAAAGGGGGTGAGTCATTTTACTGAGCTACACTCTTCTTTTTTTCTTCCCAGTAAACACTGGTATAATGGACGGTCTGATCTGGCCTGTTCAGTCAAAAATAAATAAATTATATATATATTTATTTATTTATTATTTTACTGCATGTCATTTTCAGTTTTTATGCCAAATCAGGTTACAAAAATGTTTTTGTTAAATTTTAAAATACATAATAACTTGAGGTAAAATATTTTTGTTCTTGATGGCATCACCACAGGGTCTAATACTTTGTACTTTTTCTTTTTAAAATTAAATTGCTGTAGAAAGCATTAATCCATCCATCCATTTTCTTCCGCTTATCCGGGGTCGGGTCGCGGATGTAGCAGCTTAAGTAGGGAGGCCCAGACTTCCCTCTCCCCAGCCACTTGGGCCAGCTCCTCCGGGGGAATCCCGAGGCGTTCCCAGGCCAGTCAAGAAACATAGTCCCTCCAGCGTGTCCTGGGTCTTCCTCTGGGTCTCCTCCCGGTGGGACGTGTCCGGAACACCTCACCAGGGAGGTGTCCAGGAGGCATCCTAAACAGATGCCCGAGCCACCTCAACTGGCTCCTCTCGACGTGGAGAAGCAGCGGCTCTACTCTGAGTCTCTCCCGGATGATCGAGCTTCTCACCCTGTCTCTAAGGGAGAGCCCAGACACCCTGTGGAGAAAACTCATTTCGGCCGCTTGTATCCGAGATCTCGTTCTTTCAGTCACAACCCAAAACTCATGACCATAGATGAGGGTAGGACCTCCTCCCTGACCTGGAGAGGGCACTCTACCCTTTTCCGGCTCAAGACCATGGCCTTGGATTTGGAGGAACTGATCTTCATCTTGGCCGCGTCACACTCTGCTGCGAACTGCTCCAGCAAAATCTGTAGATCACGATCTGATGAAGCCATTAGGACCACATCATCTGCAAAAAGCAGAGACACGATCCTAAGGCCACCGAAACGGATACCCTAAACACCTTGGCTGCACCTAGAAATTCTGTCCATAAAAGTTATGAACAGAATCTGTGATAAAGGGCAACCTTGGCGGAGTCCAACTCTCACCAGGAACGAGCCCGACTTATTGCCGGCAATGCGGACCAAGCTCTGACACCGGTTATACAGGGACCTAACAGCCAGTATCAAAGGGCCCAGTACCCCATACTCCCAGAGTACCCCCCACAGGGTTCCCCGAGGGACGCGGTCGAACGCCTTCTCCAAGTCCACAAAGCACATGTAGACCGGTTGGGCAAACTCCCACGCACCCTCCAGGACCCTGCTGAGAGTGTAGAGCTGGTCCATTGTTCTACGACCAGGATGAAAACCGCACTGCTCCTCCAGAAAGAAAGCATTAATTTAGAACAAATTACATAAAGCACTCAACATTTACTGTGAATACATTTATCTTTTCATTTTCAAATAATATAAATAAAATGTGATTGTTTGCCATGATTGCAGCCCGACTGTTTTGTGTTTGGCTTTATTTTGTCCAGCTAACAGAGCAGGAGGTGGAGTCCATACTGGACAAGGCCATGGTGCTCTTCCGCTTCATGCAGGAGAAGGATGTGTTTGAGAGGTACTACAAGCAGCACCTGGCTCGAAGGTTGCTCACCAACAAGAGCGTCTCTGATGACTCTGAAAAGAACATGATCTCAAAGCTAAAGGTGAGCTGGAGTGTCATTTAACATAAATATGCTCTTGGAGTAATTTACATATTTACAACTTTTGACCCAACCTTTGAAAAAAATGGTTGGCTTTGAAAATGAACTATTTGCACATCTACAGTTGAAACCAGAAGTTTACATACACTATTTAAAAAGACATTTTTTTCACGGTGTCTGACGTGAAATCAGAATAAACTTTTCCCATTTTAGGTAAATTAGGATTACCAAATTTTTTTTCTATTTGCAAAATGCCAGAATAATGAGAGAATTTATTTAGGCAATTTTTATTACTTTCTTCAAAGTCAAAAGTTTAAATACATTTCATTAGTACTTGGTACCACTGCCCTTAAACTGTATGACTTTTGTCAAATGTTTTAGATATCCTTCCACAAGCTTCTCACAATAGTTGGCAGGAATTTTGTCCCATTCCTCCTGACAGAACTGGTGGAACTGGGCCATGTTTGTAGGCTGCCTTGCTTTTCAGCTTTGCCCATAAATTTTGATAGGATTGAGATCAGGGCTTTGTGATGGCCACTCCAAAACATTGACTTTGTTCTCCTTGAGTTACTGTATAACCAGTTTGGCAGTATGCTTCGGGCCATTGTCCATTTGAAGACCCATTTTCACCCAAGCTTCAACTTCCTGTCTGATGTCTTGAGATGTTGCTTCAGTATTTCCACATATTGTTCTTTCCTCATGACGTCATCTATTTTGTGAAGTGCACCAGTCCCTCCTGCAGCAAAACAACCCCACAACATAATACTGCCACCCCTGTGTTTCACAGTCATGATGGTGTTCTCAGGCTTTTTCCTCCAAACGTAGCAATGATCATTATGGCCAAGCAGTTCCATTTTAGTTTCATCAGACCACAGGACATGTCTCCAAAAATTAGGTGCATTTGCAAACATTAATCTGGCTTTTTTATGTTTCTTTTGAAGTAATGTCTTCTTCCTGGCGCAGTGGCCTTTCAGCCTATGTCGATACAGTTTCACTGTGGGTAATGACACGCTCTTACAGCTTCAGGCAGCATCTTCACCAGGTCTTTTGCTCTTGTTCTTGGATTGATATGCACATTTTGGACCAAAGCACGTTCATCTCTGGGACACAGAACCCGTCTCTTTTCTGAGCGGTATGATGGCTGGACATTCCCACCTTGTTTGTACTTGCATATAATTGGTTGTGCAGATGAACGAAGCACCTTCAGGCATCTGGAAATTACACCCAAGGATGAACCAGACTTGTGCAAGTCCGCAATCCTCTTCCTGATATGTTGGTTGATCTCTTTCGATTTTCCCATGTCGTTACACAAGGAAGCAGTGTTTTAGGTGTTGCTTAACTTACATCCACAGGTGTGTGTCTAATCAACTCAGATGTTATCAATAAACCTATCAGAAGCTTCCAAAAACATGACATCAAATGTCCCAAATTGTTTAAAGCCATAGTAATCTTAGTGTATTCAAGCTTTTGACTTTGCAGAAAGTAATAAACTTTGCCTTAATAAATTCTCACTCTCATTAGTCTGGCATTTCGCAAATATAAAAAATTTAGGTAATCTTAAATGATCTAAAACGAGAAAAGTTTGTTCTGATTTCACGTCAGACTGTGTGAAAAAAAATGCATGTGCCTTTTTAAATGATGTATGTAAACCTGGTTTCAGCTGTATGTAATTCGCTGTAAGATATCAATTGGTTGTAAAAACTTGCTCATTTAGTTGGTACCGTTTTTTAAAGATTGATCAGTGACTACATACTATGCATTGAGCTGTTGGCCACTATGATGGTGTTAATTAGCTAAAAGTGTCTCTTTCTCGTCTTTGTCTTCAGACTGAGTGTGGCTGTCAGTTCACCTCCAAACTGGAGGGCATGTTTCGAGACATGAGCATCTCCAACACCACCATGGACGAGTTTAGACAACATCTTCAGACAACGGGGGTGAGGAGGCAACACGTGCCTCAGTTCATTCAGATTATTAAGCATTAATTCAAATTTATTTCTACTGTCAGTTTTTGGCTACAGTGATTGCCAGTCTATAGAGCGCACCCAAATATCAGCCGAGCATACTAAATAAAAAAATAAAAAATTGTACATATATAAGCCTCCGTTGTGTATATCACATTGTAACATGAGCATCAGCACATGGCTACTGAGAGAGACGTACAGCTCTTGTTGTAGATCAAGAATCAACCACCAGATGGTTTTATAGACTTTATCTTACTGTTCAACACACACAGAGTGAACGCCACAGGTCTTCATGATAACCACCTCCCTCACTCATGGTTACTCTACTGAACGGCCTAACTCAAACTAACACATGTTGAACATATAAACTAGATTAACAAGAACAGACTAATCACTAAAAGAACAGTGCTAACAGCTAACCAACATGATTACATGATTACAACAGAATGCTACAATACGTACCGGTAACATACACAAATACATACAGTAAATGTTTTTATTTTCTTAACAGTGTTGGTAACACGACTGGTAAAAAAAAAAATGTATATAGTAGCCTATAGGAAGTCATTGATCGCTGAATTCTTCCTGCTGCAGGCTTGTGGAGCAAAATTGCTCTGTGAGCATGTGAGACTCACATGCTCTGTGCACGCAGGGGAATCCCCCCTCCCATTCTCTCCCCCCTCCCTGTTTCATTGGTTCGACCATGACCTGTTCAGTAAATTCATTGGTCAGTTTTTTTATTACTTTTATTTATACGGGTAGTCTCATTAATATACGTCTCTCTTGGGGGGTGGGTCCTCGTGACTCAATGAGACTACCTCACTGGTTCATCTTAGTGGTCACATGGCCTCAGGGAGGGATTATGGGTAAAATGATCATTTCGGTTAGCTGTTTAGCATTGTTCTTTAGGGATTAGTCTGTTCTTGTTAGTCTAGTTTATGTGTTAATTATGTGCTAGACTGTGTTGGGCCGTTCAGTAGAGTAACCACAAGTGAGAGAGGTGGTTCTCATGAAGACCTTTGGCGTTCTCTCTGTCTGTGTGTGTCACGAGAACCCACCCCCCCAAGAGGGATGTGTGTTGGGCAGCTATGTGAGCGCCCAACTAAATGTTTTTGGTGGCAGGAAGCTCGTTAGCTCGTCCCAAAACAAAAATAAAATCCATAAATTAGCCACAGCATTGTATAATCTGTGGGGTTCAAGCCTGTGAAAGTAGTAGCGGCTTATAGACCAGCGATCGCGGTACTTAATTGACACTTACTGTTCCCATTTCTGAAGAGCCAGTCATGAGCCTAACTACTGGTATTTGTGTCCTCGTAAAATATGGAGCCAGTTTCAGGCTTGTGCTGCATTTCCATGGGGCTTCTCATTACTACAGCTTTTAGCGCAGCAGTGTGTGTGACATCAATAGAATATAAAAATCTCAGTTTTGTTGATGTTTCACATTTGTGTCATGCATCTATTTTTTTCACTATTCTTCAGTTTTAGTTTTTTTGTTTAAGTTCTAAATGTTCGTTGTATTCATGTATTTTTGTTTTTATTGTTTTACTTCAGGTTTCTCTTGGAGGGGTTGATCTCACTGTGAGAGTTTTGACCACAGGATACTGGCCAACACAATCAGCAACACCCAAGTGCAACATCCCTCCTTCACCACGTCATGCATTTGAAGTATTTAGAAGGTTTGTCACTTATACAATTAGAGATATTCCCTTGTAGAAATGTATGAATGTGTTCAGTTACAGTCTCCCAGAGGCAAAAAATATGGTAATTGTTCATTTGTTTGTTACACCTGGATAACCAAAGTGCTAAGAGAAATGGAACGATTTTACATCCTGTCATGTGTTGACTAAAACCTCGCTAACCTGCAGAACTATTATAGAATATTGTTCTCTTTTTAGACAAAAGATCAAAAACTAAGGTCACCAAGGTTTTTTGTTTTTCAGCTCTAGTGATTTGTCTTTTCATTTTCAAACAATATAGATCGAATCTGATCTTTACTGTTTTTGCAGCCGTGCACTGTTTTGTGTTGGGCTTTATTTTGTCCAGCTAACAGAGCTGCATCTTTATTCATTCATTCATTCAACCTTTATTTAGACGGGTAAATCCCATTGAGCCTCGAGGACTCATTTACAAGAGAGACCTGATTAAGAAATCTTATTATTATCTGCTCTGTCTGCATTTTCAAGATTAATACAAAACAACATTGGACAAATTTTAGTGTTTTCCCTCTCAATAAAATCACCAGAAAGGAGTTAATGGCTTCTTTCCATAACTTTGTGTGCCATCAATATCAAGAAGAGGCCGACAGGTGCAGTCCTTTTAAATTTAAGTCTTTTCTAAAATCATTTAGATAGTCCAGCTATAACTACAAAAAATTAAATGTTAAGGACTAACTGTTGATATGCCTCACTTTGATAGTTGATATTTGTAAGTGCAGTTAAAACTAAGGGACAATGAGGTATGTTGATATATTAAATCCTTTTTAATATATCTACTGTAAATTTAATTACCTCCCTTAACTGTTTTTACGTTAACATGCTTTTTTATTATTATTATGATTGTTATCTTTATTAAATTTAATGGGTTTGTCATATCTTACCTTTTCTTTACCTCCTGGAAATTTCAAATATCTGAACAGTCTTTAAATTAAAATTACAGTAGAAAATACCTCAATATTAAAAATAAAATCTGCATCACAGTACCGCCCAACATACCTGGTAAAGTAATTTTTTTTTTGGGGGGGGGGGGGTCATATCACCTAGGCCTAGGTAGAAGCTGAGCAGAATAAATATTTTGTAGGTAATTCTTGTGGAAGACACGTGTTTGTGTAATCCTATGTGGGACTGTCGCGATAAACAATAAATCAATTAATCGCATGATAAATGAAAATTATGGACCTCATTTTCATTTATCAGCTTTATCGTTTCTTCATGTCTCTCTCTTTCTACTGAAG